ACTTAGCTTGCTTTATGCTTGATTACAGGTCCTTGAACCATTCCATACTCAATAATTTAATGCATATTCAATGTGTTAATACCATGTTCTTTGTGTTCTAACATTGCATAGTGAATTAATCCTAAACTAGATAAAGTGAACTTTCCATTTTTGAAAAGATTAACTTTATGTCCAATTGCAAATCAAGAAGGTACAAGCAAAATCCTTTTGGCACAAGATTATGGGCAAATTGCTCTGATCAAGAGAGGCTTATGCAGCAGGATTAGAGGCCCCTACTGACCTAAAACACAAAGTGACCATTGCTTGCTTCATTTTCAAGTAACATTGCATAACTTATGCCATCTCTCATCTCAGCATAGAAACACAACACAAAAGCTATCAAACACATTCAGAAGAACATATCCAAGCTAACACACGAGCCCTTGCCATCTAAAACCCTCCCATTGCCCTAATCACCTTGAAACTGCACAAACAGGGGAACCCCTGCAGATTGAGTGCTATCTCTCAATCCCTTCGAGCATTCTTGTCCAAACCTGTTCCTCTACCTTCCTTACAACATATGCAAGCTAACCATGGCCTAAAACCTGACCTGTAATCACCCTAACAGTTTCCACCATTTTCATTTTTTCCTTTTGCAGTTGAAGTTCCATAGCTTGATTCAGAAGCTCTCAAGACAAAGTAAGCATTGAAACAGCATCCCTGGACCTCAAGGAAGCTTTTCCAATCATCACATTGCACTGAAAGTTCCTCATTCTCCAGATTGAAGTTCAATTGCACAGGTAAAACTTTGAACTCGTATCTCTCTTATTATGCATCTTTAGTCTTAAGTTTGTGAAGAAACAAGGTTCTACTCATAGCCCTGAACATGTACATATCTTTACATTTCATTTCTTTTGCCTGAGTAGAGAGAATTTAAGCTTTGAAAATGGCAGAAAGTTTAGGTCAAGATTTGGGATTGATAAAATTCTCTCTCATTTCTGAGAGTTAGGATGAGTTTTTTATATATTTGGAATCGTGATTCAATGCTTGACATGTTTTGTGTTGAAAGTTTGTGCAAAATCTCAAAGAATCAGGATGTTTGAATCTCTGAAACAAGGCGCGCGTTTTGGCCAAAGGTTGAAGAAGAAGTGGAGTGGGCTGGGCCTGTGTTATTTTGCTATCCACACCATTTTTCCTGTTTCACACCCCTTAGCCCATTTGCCTCATTTTTTGATATTTTTGACTTTTTCTTTTTTTGTTTGACTTGTTTATTTTTCCTCAGCATATTAAAATATTAAAAATATTTTTTTTCATCTTTTTTTGAATTAATGGCATATTTATTTGATTTATTCCTTTGTTTATACATAAATATATACATATTTTTATTTAGAATAAATATAAAAATAGTGTAAATACATTTTTTTATTTTTGTTTACCTTCTGAAAATATTTCACATAAAAATACTCTTTTCATTTATTTTATTAAAATATTAAATAAATATTTATTTTGTGTATAATACATATTTAAGATTTAATATATATATATATATATATATATATATATATATGTTTATTAATATGTTTAAATTAAAATATAAAGATACTTGAATTTTTTTCATTTTTGTTAATATTTGATACAAAAAATACATTTTCCATAATATACTTCATTTTATTTTATTTGATTTTTATAAATAATAAATAAATAGTTGGATTAAATTAGATAATAATGCATTTTCTTTAAAATTAGGGTTTCTTGCCCTAAATTCAAAATACTCTAAAAAAAATAATAATATATTTTTATTTTCTTTTCTCTTTTACATAAATAATATTTTTTCATACATATACAAAACATTTCTTTTGCATCTTGCATTGTTATTTAATTTTTGTACATTGATTAATTGCAAATATTCAAAATGATGTAATAATTTAGATTTAAATTCTTGTCAATATCCCCATTTGAACATTTGTACCCCCCTTCCCATATTTGGTTTTGTAATAGCTTAGTAATTTTAATTTCGCACTTTATTGCTTTCTAATGATAATATGTTAGAATTAGGGTTTGTATGCGAAAAAACGATAAAAAATAGTTTGACCTAATACAAGATAAATGAGCATGAAAATGGACACACAAATCACACTTGCACCCCCTAGGGTATTCCACTTGTTGCCTTCAAATAAATGGGCCATATTGTATGTTGAACTTCTTTGGGCAAGGCAAACAATTTGAATGATCATAGTCCCTCGACAAAACTTTTTTCAAAACAAACAAAAACAAATGATCAAGTCCCTTAAAGAAAATTGCCCAAAGACATTCAACGCCGTTGCAATTATGGTCTAAACGATGACCCGCGCCTGTCCCTTTCACATCCTAACACAAAGTTGTCCACCAAATACAATGGTGGAACAAACTTGTTAAAAGGGTTAAAACATAGCAATAATCTTTGAGAAATTTAGGAGTAGATAACCTCTTAGTTACTTGAATCAAACTTGCAAAACAAAAACACTTGCCTATTTCAAAAACCACACATCACTACACTTTCAAAACCACTTTCAAAAACAAATGAAAACCTTTTCAAAAGACTTACATCTTTGTATACATCCCCACATGGATCATTACAAAGGTTGCCACCACATTGGCATCTTTTCAAAACATTTTCAAAACCCACACACAAAGCACCATTTAAAACAATTGAAAGCAAAAGGCAAGTGATCTAAGCAAGTAACTAAGAGCCCATGGATAACCATGGATAGAAAGGGTGCTAATACCTTCCCTTTCTATAATCTACTCCCCGAACCCAAGAAAACATCTCAAAAGGTTTTTGCTGTGCTTTTTAACCTTTCCTTAGGATAAAATAAAAAGTCGGTGGCGACTCTTGCTAACCGCAACATTTGCGGATACAAACGCAAAACCCAAGTCAGTTCTCCCACCGTATCACACTAGGCATGTATGATTAATCAATCAATCAATTGGTCACTAAATTCAAGATGAAATATCTGAAAAAAGCACACTATTGCACACTTGCACCCTTAGGGTATACCTCACTTGGTTGCCTCAGAAACAGTGGTCATGTCCCTCGAACATAGGGATACTCTTAGCAAAGACCCTCAGTTTAAAGTCATCATAAGGATCATAGTCCCTAAATGTCCCTCGAGTTGCCTACGAGAAATGAGCTTATGATGATAGTCCCTTCTAAATGCTAAGGTATCCTTACATGTTTCCTTCAATGACCATTACGTCCCTTTCGATAGTCCCTTAACATCCAACGACTAGGGTTAACTACTCACTAATAGTAGGATAGCACGATCTAAAGGATGGGAGGAAAATAACAGTCTTTTTTGAGTAGGTAGATAACTGTTAGGTACTTGCTCAAACAAACTTTCACACCACACTTTCAAACACTTTTCAAACAAAGTTTTCAAAATGCTTTATCACACTCTTGAGGACTGATACAAGAGTTACCATAAAGTGAATCGCCGCAATAAGGCATTTTCAAACAAAAACTTTTTCACACAAACACGAAAGAAATTTTTAAAAATGAGCATGTACCTAAGAGCTCGTAGAAAACTACAGATGGAAAGGGTGCTAACACCTTCCCTTTCCATAACCTACCCCCCTTACTCTGAAATATTGAAAAAGGTCTTTTTCTATTCTTTTCACCCTTTCCTTTATTGGATAAAATAAAAGTCGGTGGTGACTCTTGCTTACCGCGTCATTTGCGAATACAAAAACACAAACCAGTATAACAGTCGGTTCTGCCACCGTATCACAGAACTGTCGACTCTACTGGGGAAAAAATAAAAAGTGGGGTTTACCTTAGGGTCTAGTACATTTTAAAATTGCTTTCTTTGTTAGCCTTGATTGCTTTACTTTTAAGGGTTTGTTGGGGTATTCTTGTAAAGATCTTATACCCAGATCTGGGACACTTTTTAGGTAAATAGTAATAGATCATGGAGATTGTACGGTGTAGACCGATATGGTTGAAGCGATGGCTGTATTGGTGTGACACTTTGGTTGGTACCAGTTGTAATACCCCAAATTTGTCCTACCCTTCTATAAGGATCGTCTGACTTATGCTTTTCGTAAATTTCACATACATAATCTCCATTAGGTCATCTAACATATCATGCATCATTCATCAATAAAATTTGAAATGAGATCATAAATATTGGAGAATTAGGGTTTTACAATGGATAAGGCGTTCTTATCTAATGAAGGCTGATTTCTTCTCTGAGCATTAAATAGAGGCATTAAGGTTGTGATTTATGGTTATTGAGATTTCTTAAGCTACAAAGCTATTATTTTCATATCAATAGCAGGTTGCAGGGTTGCCCTATTTAGAGCTATGAATCTAGGGTTTATATCCTATTATATGCAGGTTTGCCAACATTTTACTAGGTGTTTGATGGATAGAAAAACATGATAAAAGAAAGGTGTTGTGAATTCGTTGTGATCAAGGGTATTATTGTTCTTAATTGTTTGAGTGCTTGTATTGCAAGTCAGCTAGTGAATAACAATTGAAATTAAGGTTTCTTCAAGACATGTTACTTTGTGAGGTCATCAGTTACCATGGAAAAGGTTCAGGAGTTAAATTGCGAACATTGGATCATGACTCAGAGGATAATTTTGTGGGTTCATTATTACACTTGTAGCTTATGAAGAAAACAGATGCCAATTGAATGGTTTTGTTAATGGAGGAGTGGTTTAGAATTGTTCATCTGAGTTCATTATAGTGTGTTCCAAGTTCCGATTATAATTCCATAAAAAAATAATAATAATAATAATAGTCCAGAATCATTTCGATCTACCGTTAAAAATAAAAATAAAAACATATTTTCATTACAAAGGCAGTCCAAGTACACCATTGTTACAGCAATCTATTCATATAAAATGCATTCAAACAAAATTCCTGAATTCTAAACTTAAGCTCTATCTTTGTTCTCCAACTGTCCTTCATACTTCTTTGTCGAAAATCAGTCCAAACTTCATGCTCTTAATGGCCATTATATCAACATAATCAATGCTTAGACTTGTTGCATTAATCTTTCCCATCTGCTTGCCAAACCATCATTTAACCTGCATTCCATTTACAATCAGCATGTATATATATGTGTATATGCACCATAACCAAATTCAATCAAACTACATCCATAAAAAAAGTTTACAAAGATTTTGGTAGATTGGAAATATGGCAAACTCATCAGAATCAAAGATTCTAAAAGAATTTGATTTATAGTAACCGCAGTGATGAATAAGATTCAGAGAAAGGGGAAGAAGCTGCTTGGTCTGAATCTTAATGGCTTTCTCATCTGCAAAATTCATATTCTTGATTATTTCAGCCTGGTTTTCTGCAAAGAAGAAGAATGTGCGAGGTGCTTTAACATGTGATGGAAGTATATATAAGCTTCTAGTTACTAGAGATTAATCCCACTATAACAACGCTGGGTATGAATCTCTGATGACTACCTATAAAAGGAGATAACAGTTAACAACTTCCTCTAACTGAAGCCTAACAGAATTCCAATTTCCCAATAGAATTTCTAACTTCCTTTAACCATAACTAACTGTCAAAACATCCAGTAACTAACCCTGACTATTTTTAACAAATTTCTAACTACTTCCAACCAACAGTCTAAACAAAAAGTTAATTGTTTTCTATACCATCTTCCAACTGTTTCTAACAGAACCCAGCCAACTAATCCCAACTAACCATAACAGATTTTCTGATTGTTTCTAACTTCTCCTAATCTCCTAATTAACCATAACGGATTCAACCAACTGCCAAAATAGAATAACTCCCTCTAGGCCTAACTGCTTTTCCTTAATAGTATCCAACCCCCTAAAACGGCAAAACAGAATAACTAACTTCCAAAATATCCTATAACCAATCTCTAACTGATTTCTAACCAATTTCATACTACATCAAAACAGATCATAACGGTTTCCAACCTATTTCCAACAACCTTTAACAGACCCCAACAACTAATTATTTTCATAACTTCCTAACTGTTTTCCTAACCTCCAAAGACCAGCTAACTCCCTAACTACCTCTAACCAATTTCTAACCGCATCTCAGTAGAAGGAAGAAAGAAGATAACAGAAAATTCATAATAGAAAACCCCAACCAACTTCAACAAACTTCATAATAAATTCTCAACAGAATTCAACAAACAAAAGGAAAAAAGGGGAGAGGGAATTCACGATTCAGTCTATAAAATAACAAAAAATTAGTTAGAGGTCTCATCTTTTTTCAACCTCACTCTTTGCATAATCTCAGGAGATCCCTTCATTCATCATCTTCATCTTCAACCATCAACCTTCACTCTTCTCCGATAAGCATCCTCTTCATCCCCTTCAGGAAGCTCCAATCTTCATCCCAACTACAACTGGAGTCTCAATCTCTATCGGATATTCATCACCATCATCTCACCAAAAAGATTTGAAAGTATGCAATAAACTCTTTGCTCCTTCATTCTGAAATCGCAGATTGCAGTAACAACAAAATTTCGGTAACCACATCACATTCATGATTCACAGATCAAAATCAGAATGCGAAATCAGGGAAGAAAGATCAAGAATAACAATAATTGTATTACCTCACCTCTGGATTTTTGAAGCACCACTGAAGCGTCTTTGAAAGGTAATTCCCGATCTTCTTCTTTTTATGATCTTTTCGTTTGGTCTTTATCATAGCCGTGAAGTATGAAGCTCAGTGAACTACAACCCCATGGATCCGGGGTCTTACACTCCATATCCGCCATTTAATCTTGATTTGAAGTAATTTAGTGTTTAGGTCTTTTTTGTTAGATTTAGAATGGACAAATAGAAATTGACGAAAATTGGCAAGGGATTCAGATTCAGAGGGAGATTCTAGGTTATGTTTATGTTGAGAAGATGCTGAGTCAAGGACGACGGTGGCACCGATTTGCCAAAGATCACGTCGATAAGGGAAGAAGGAGAACGATACAAGCATGAGCTTGTCTGTGAATGGAGATGAACAGTCACAAAGACCAATTAAAAAAATGCATTGTTTCATATTTTATTTTTCTGAAGTTCTTTTATGCAATGTCAACAAGGTTTTCGTTGAAAGAGAATAGGCTTGTGTTGCTAAGAAGAACTGAATTAAGGACCATTAGTTCATGTGTTCTTTTTACAGAATCTGGCCCATTCTAGCTTTCTGTTTAACAATGCTTGCTAGACTCTATTGTTGGGCCGAGTCATCTCTGAGCCCGCTCCATCTTTTTGGAAATCAAGTGAAGTAGCAATAAAAATTGCCTTTGGACTTATGAAGTTTGGGCCTAGCGCCCTACTCTTGCAGCACCCCCTGAATTCAATTCTCACCCTCTGTTTCTCTTACTTTCATTTTATGATTTTTTTTAGTTCTTTCTGTCACGGTTTTTTTTAATAACAAAAATGCATAATAAAAATGAGAAAATATTATAAGACATTTTAGTAATTCAATAGGAATTAATTTCCCCCTTTGTTAACTTTTTAGTCAATTTTACTCATTAGTTTTGTTCATTGTTATGCCTCATTTTTCGTTTGCGATTTTTGGTATGAGTTGTATGCAATATTTTAATACTCGCTGCCTAATTTTACTTGTTTGCATATTCTTTCATGATTCCTTAGGAGATTTTTGTTCAAATTTAATCTTCGATTAAATTGAACTAAAATTAGACATTAGGCTTTTAAATCCAAGCATGTAAATATTAGGTAGAATTCCCTCGAAATTCCAACTTTAAGTCCATGATGCATAATAATGCTAGGTTTAGAAATAGGCTAGTCTCCCTTTTAATTTTCTTTCCCCTTTTGCACTTGCATTAAAACAAAAACTTCTTTTTTCTTTCAAACTTCAAAACACTTTAAAACTACTGATGAGAATCATACCTTTGCTTAATATGGAAAATGATAAGCGAGTCTCTTCTCGATCTTATTGTTCTCCATATCAAGCCTAGGTGTGGTTCAAGTCTCAAAGACTCCTTTCATGGATAAGTGGAAGAGTGGCTAATATCTCTCTCTTGAGGTCAACTAGCCATTATCTGCAATAGAATAAAAACCAACTCAAACCATTTTGTGCGCTCGAGCATCAGTTCTCTAAAACCCTTTTCAGGTAAGGACATGATTAATTTACTTTTGTGCCAACACATAAGTCTCCAAAGGTCGAGCTGCGACAGAAGGCGGGATTAGCATTGTCCATAAAAAACACCAACAAACAAAAACATGTGAGACGAACTATGGTAGCTCTGATTCCTCAAAAAGGATACGTAGGCATTGGGGTAGGGCCCAAGCGAGTACAACTTTATTTTCCCTATATTCTTTTCTCCTTTCTTTTGCATGAATTCTCCCTTTAGCAGCAGTAAGCAGTAAGCATAGATTAGACACACCCATAAGATAGACAACAAGAGTGGATACTATAGAGTACTACAGGCGTATGGGGTGCTAATACCTTCCCCTCGCGTAACAGACTCCCTTTATCCGATCTCTCGGTCGCAAGACCGTGACTTCTCCCTTCTTAGGTTTTCTCGATGTTTACCTTTCACTTCATGTGGGATAAAAGACGTTCGATGGCGACTACATTGTTTGATGATTTTCAGCCGGTTGTTTCATTGGTATCCCTTGCATCGAATCGAGGAGAATACGGGGCCGCCGCGTGGTGTCGTAAAGCACTAACTAACCTTAGGACCTTAGTTGAACAAACTTGGCCATTATAAGATAGTGAGATAGCTGGCCTTGGTGTAAAGCTTGGAATCGGTTGATACTCGATACTACACTCATTGAGATCGGACTTTCGGGATGTTTCGGCCGCAAGAAAATATTACTAAACTGAAATAATATCGATAAAGAAATATCAGTAATATTGACACTCCTTAGAACCCGGTTACTATTTCTAGGACATGTTTGAAACCAAATAAACTCAAGAGGTTATTTACCTATAAACCCCATGAAAGCCTAATCCTAAGGTCTTGTGTGCTTTGCTTGTGTGTGACTAATTTGCTTAAACATGACATCATGCATCATAAACATTCATTCTTCATTACGCTAACTGTTAGAACATAGTTTGATTCTACAACCCTTGATTAGAGTTTTGATGATAACAAAATACAAAGAATAAATAAATTCAAAGATATATATATATATATATATATATATATATATATATATATATATATATATATAAAACAAATATGCTTCTTAAAATTATGTTTTGTATATACAGAAGTTCTGATGGAATCAGCATCAGAAGATCAGTAATATGTGTTACACGCTGAAGCTACCAGATTATACGCTGAAGCTTGATGACCAGAATCTGCGCATAAATAATACACTCTGACTCTGATCAAAGATCTTTACCAAGTCATCAACACTCTGAAGCGTTATCATAAGTTAAAGCAAAGAACACTCTGAAGCGTTATCATAAGTTAAAGCAAAGAAGACTCTGAAGCGTTATTAATTATTCAAGACAGAAGTTAATGCTAACGGCTCTCTTCAGACAAGATCTTCTTCAAAAGGAAAGTGCGTTATTGTCATTAAACTGGCTTTATGGACAACGTATCTCTGCCTTGCCTATATAAACAAGTCATCTTGAGAAAAGACGCACACATGCACTCACAAAATTTGCCAAGCCTTCAAAACCACGTTTATTCAAACGATTTAGCAAATTCAGTTTATTCCAAGCTTAAGTTGTGTAATTATCACAGTTGTGATATATTGTTTTGTTAGAAAACGTTAACACATCCTTATTCAATTATTTGTAAAAGATTTCCTTGAGATAAACCGGTTTGTGGTTATACTCAGGAAGACTTTAGCAGTTGTTAAAGTAGCTATTGTAATCCTTTGAAAATAGTGGACTAAGACCTCGTTGGAGAGAGGCGAAATCACCTTGACGGGTGGACTGGAGTAGTTTGAGATCAAACGAACCAGGATAAAAATACTGTGTTGTCAAAGCATTTGTTTTAAGTTTTACAATTCAACCCCCCTTCTTGTGTTTTTCACATCTTCACTAACCATTTCAAGGATTAGGGGAATTTATCTTTGTTCTATTTTACAGATCATGGCTTCCGCTCGTAGAAATACCATCCGAATCAGCTTTGTGAGAATATTGCTTCAACTCAAAGAGCTAGTATCTAGGGTTTTTGAGACTTCCTCATTCACCAAGAACTACGGACGACTCCTCAATCTGGTTACCTCAAGTTTTAATGAGAAGATGATGAGTGTGTTATTTCAGTTCTTTGACCCTAAGCATCATTGCTTCACCTTTCTAGACTATCAATTGGTACCCACCATGGAAGAGTTCTCTCAGATATTGGGTATACCTATTTTGGATCAGTTTCCTTTCATCGGTTTGGAAGAAGCTCCAAAACCAGAGATCATTATAGTAGCTTTACACCTGAAACGGTCCAACATTGTATCCAACTGGGAAACAAGAAGCGGAGTTAAGGGTTTTCTAGCCAAGTTCCTAATAGAGAAGGCTCACCTGTTTTGGGATGATTTGAACTTCCAGGCTTTTGAGGAGGTCTTGGCACTTCTCATCTATGGGTTAGTATTGTTCCCTAATCCGGACTTGCTCATCAATGTGAGTGCTATCTAGGTCTTCCTTTCTCGCAACCATGTGCCTACTTTACTTGGAGACATCTTGCATACCTTCCACACTCGTACCACGAAGAAAATAGGTATTCTTATGTGTTGTTTGCCATTGCTTTCGAGGTGGTTTATTTCTCACCTCCCTAAGACAGTACTGAAGAATGAAGAAGGTTTGGGCTGGTCGCAAAGGATAATGTCACTTTCCCACACGGATATTCTCTGGTATTCCCGATCTATGTGAGATATTTCTATTATTGACTGCTACGGGGAATTCCCTAATGTCCCACTACTTGGCATTAGGGGAGGCATAACCTATAATCCTTCTCTGGTTCTGCGACAATTTGGTTACGCTCAAAAGGGATGGTCCTTATGAGATGCTTATCCAGGGAATTATGTTTAACTATGAGGATGATGTTCAAGGGTATCGCCAAAGGTTCATACGAGATTAGGGCATTGTAAACATATTTGACATCAAGACGTTGGGGCTGAAGACTTCCATTCTTATGGAACCCTATCTCCAATGGGTACGAGCTCGTTCTCAGAACCTTATGACTCCATATATAGCCATCTTACCAGTGATTGTGGAGCCCATTACTGAAGGGGATATTCCTTATACAGTTCTTCATCCTGATATGCCCACGGATCTTGAAGAACTATAGAGGTCCTGGATTCAGCTGAAGAAAGAGCGGGATACCTTTAGAGACCATTTTTATGCCCATGAGAGGAAATTTTAAGAGCTCACAAAGCAACTTCATGAGGAAAGAAGCCTCAATGTCTATCTCGGCACGAAGAGGAAACGCCCATGGGAAACCTGATTTTTTAAGTTTTTTGAACCTTCAATTGAAACGCCTAAAAGGCAATTGTATTTTGAATTCTACTAATAAAGTCTTTGTTTCATTTTGGTTCAAAAATTTAAATTTCCTGAAATCCTTGAAATCATTGCATACACTTGTCATACATATCATTGCATAAATAAGTTTCATAGCAGGTTTCTCATCTTGTTCGCTGTTTATTTCAATCGTAAAGAAATGGCTCTCGAACAAACTGTGAAGGACTTACAGACTCGGAACGCACAATTCCAAGGAGGAACTAAAAGCCCTGATTGTTAAAGACAAGACTAAGAATCCAAGGAGGATAGCTGGTGCGGTAAATCTGGGAAGAAGATTCAAAGGACCGCTCAGGAAAGTGGTTGAGCTGGCATCTTCCTCCAAAGAAGGAGATAACCAAGAGGGTGAGACAAGAGAGGATGACCCTAGTCCACAGGAATATGACAATGAGACTGATTACAATGAAGAGCAATATCCTCCAGCCGACGAAAAGTACAAACAGCTGGAAGAGCGTCTGAGTGCAATGGAGATTCAGAAAGTGCTTGGGCTGGACTTTGAAGAGCTGGATTTGGTGTTTGGGATTGTCATTCCGCAAAAGTTCAAGGTGCCAGTGTTTGCCAAGTACGAT